CCCTCGCGCAGCACGTTTACCAGTTTGGTCGCATATTCTTTGAGATCTTCCTGAGACATCAGTAAGTCTGAGCTCGTGTCGTTAACGTATGTCTTGAGATATGCAAGGAGAATATGTATCCATTCGCGGTCACGGGGTCTTTGGAGCTGAGCATGCGTGTCGATCGCTCGCGAAAGCATAAAGGACTCCAGGGAAATCCACATATGTGGGGCATAGTGAGCAGGAAGAGAGGAAAATATTGTCAGGGCATTGGATAGTCTGCCTCGATGGCTACATTGATGTTAACTCACAAGTAATCAAAAGGGGAGACATAAAAAACTTACATATCGAGGGCGGCAAGGCTCCCATGAAGCTTTAGAGCAAACTTCCGTCGCCCGGCTTTTACGTACGAATCAATTGCTCGATTCGAGATGGTGCAATATAAGTCGTAGAAGGCCTCTTGCTCCCCTATGGCAAGCATGAATTCATACCTGCTGATACGTTGGTCTGGCGACTTCTCGTTGGACATGGGCGGAGACTGTGGAAGAGTCATGGGACCGGGAAGTGCCATCGAGAAGGGTGGTTGTGACGGTAGATGTCCCACCTTGATGCCTAGGATATCGAGCTGCAAGTGCCGTCAGGGTGATGTTGCTTACCGACCAGACTTGGAGCAGACCTGGCTTCTGGCAAGCTCAATCAACTCTCCTTTACTTGCGCTATAGCGTGCAAGGGCTACACCCTCTATATCTGGCCATGATGAAGCCCATTTGTCACATTGATCCACAACGCTGAGCGCGGAAGAGAAAATCCAAGACTCGACGAAATATTCCGGTAGTGTCGGCTGAAGGATGCATGAGCGCTAAGATAGGAAACACGTTTGCAAGTCCCCTAACCTCAACCTCCCTCAATCGTCTTCCGAACGTGCTAAGGAACATAATTGCTCTCCGGCAAATTTCGGTAGGTTGGTGCATGCGGTTTAGCAGACCGCTTTGTCTGCCAAGCAGATATATCCGTAAATCGAATACGGAGATTGTGTTGGCGAGGATAAGGTCGCGATACGGCTTTTTCGATATGGAAAGAAGTGGCATCGAGTCGTCCTTGGGCGCTGGATGGATGAGACTCCCAAACCAAGACATATTTTTGTCCCTCAAAACTTGCATGAAAGTTGCCTCGAGCTCGTTGTACTGCTGCAATGCGTCTTCGAACAAATTGACAGCTTCATACGAGCTTGCCAGGCTTTCCTACTCGCGCAATTGACTCATCTGTGCCGCGAGTACAAAATCCGCACGGCCCACCTTTAAGATAAAATATGTGCAAAAATTCCAACCTGGCATATGTCGCTGAGCCTCAGAGCGCTTAACTTCCTCTTCTCTTGATGACACGGCAGTGTCAAGGGCGGATAGTAGTCCGTCCTTGATCTTGCTGATCAGGTCCGCCCAGACGGCTGGATTCTGATCTCCGACAGACCAGGCTAGCTGCACGCACCTATGAGAGACTATTGACAAATCTACTTCAGAGTGATGAATACTGGGTACCTGTCTCGCTTGTCGACATTGAAGTCAGCTTTCATCTTGTCGAGGACGGAGCCTTTCATGTTGAAGAACTTGCGGTCTACTATCTTGGCATCTGGACGGACCACATGTACGATGAGCCATTCCTGGTTCTTCCTCTGCGTTACGGATGTTTGCCAGTCTTTGATCTGCTTCTTGACGGTCGTCCTGTAGATCTCGTTGTCCTATGGGAGGTAATCAACAAAAGGTCAGCTGTGCAGTGTGGAAGGGGTTTGCATACCTCACAGGCGACTACATACAAGTTCAAGAGCGGCTTCTCGAGGAGCGTGACTGGAACCTGTGATGCATGCTCGTCGCGAAGAGAGTCCAGGGAAAGCAGAGAAATCTCGAGCTCTTGAATAGTCTTGATGCTTGGACGGGAAGCCGACTTCCAGTGAATGTTGCGTAAAGGCAACTGAGACCGCAGAGCAGCGAGGACCTGCTTCCAACTATCTGAGGACTGAGAGGGAGAAACAGCGAATGTCACGATAGCGTGCTGGTTCGGCATTCTAAGCAACGCGTTTGGTGCTCTTCAACCTTGTAATATTGCAAGCTCTGGTACTTCAAGTGGTAGATATCCTAATTGGTAAGTATGACATTTCTTGTCAAGCACTTGCAAAGTTTTATTCGTCTCCACAAATGCCTTTGCCTGAGGAAGCCAGCACCTCTGCCTCAGCATCCAGGACATTTAGAGACCTTGGTCTGATCGATCCTCTGTTGCAAGCCCTCGACCAGATAAACTTCAAATCGCCTACCGAAATCCAGCAACAAGTCCTTCCACACGCTCTAGAAGGACGGGATATCATAGGTGTAGCCGAGACAGGATCAGGAAAAACCGCTGCGTTCGCCCTACCCATCCTTCAGAAACTATGGGAGGAGCCCAAAGGTCTCTTTGCTGTCGTCCTCGCGCCAACCCGCGAGCTTGCGTACCAGATATCGCAGCAATTCGAAAGCCTGGGTGCAGGGATGGGTGCACGATGCTTGGTGCTTATTGGAGGTGTTGATAAGATGCCCCAGGCTGTTGCACTTGCGAAACGACCGCACATATTGGTTGCTACTCCCGGTCGGCTGAATGACCATCTCCAGAGTACCAAAGGTTTTAGCCTTAGAGGCTTGAAGTTCCTGGTATGCCTTACATCTTTCCTCCGTGGCTTACTTGGGGTAACGTCTGCACAGGTCATGGACGAAGCTGATCGTCTGCTTGACATGGATTTTGGTGCTGATATCGATCAAATACTGAAAGTCATACCCAGGGAGCGTACTACATATCTCTTTTCTGCGACTATGACGACCAAGGTCGCCAAACTCCAAAGGGCCAGTTTGTCCAATCCAGTTCGGGTCGAAGTGTCCTCAAAGTGAGTGTCTCACGGCCTTTACATCCTGAGCTCCGCCAACGTCCTAGCCTTAGATATCAGACTGTTTCGACCCTCTTGCAATACTACCTTTTTGTGCCGTTAGTGCACAAGGATGCACACTTGATATACCTCGCGAACGAATTGGCGTCAAATTCCATCATCATATTCACTCGGACTGTACATGATGCTCAGAGGTAACTGGCATGCCAGACGTCAACGTGAGCTGAGCAATTGCAGGTTATCGATCATACTGCGCACGCTTGGCTTCCCTGCCGTTCCTCTGCACGGACAACTGAGTCAAAGTCAACGCCTGGGTGCACTCAACAAATTCAAGACTGGGGGACGCAAGGTCTTGGTTGCTACTGACGTCGCGAGCCGGTGAGTACCATGCAACAACAGCCCATTCTTCATGGGTTAACTAATTAAATCAGTGGGCTTGACCTCCCGTCCGTTGACGTGGTCATCAACTTTGATATTCCTACACATTCCAAGGATTATATCCACCGCGTCGGACGCACGGCTCGAGCGGGGCGCGCAGGGAAATCCATAACCATGGTCACCCAATATGATGTTGAACTCCTTCAACGCATAGAGAAGGTAATCGACAAGAAGCTCGAGTTATGGCCGACTAGTAAAGAGGAAGTGATGCTACTCAAGGAACGGGTGGATGAAGCTGGAAGACTGGCCGTGAACGAGCTGAAGGAAGAGGCAAAGGCAAATGGGAGCAAGAAACGAAGGCGGGAAGAAGGGGGCGGTAGAGACGAGAAAGACCGTGACGATGACGTCGTCGAAGCTGGGATGCCTAGAGGCAAAAAATCCAAGGGCAGACGATAGTATTCTAGCCCACGACACGATCAAGAGAAAACATTTACAACGTCATCTAATCCATGAACATGAGGTCCGAACGGAGAATGTACTTTGTTCCTTCACGAACAAGGGAACCCTCGTGCAACAGACACTCGTTACCATGCCTGTGTATACCGTTAACAATCTGCAGGGGACGTGGTAAAGAGAGCCACCGACCGGTGGAGGAGAGCAGTACCACGAGTGAGGGGGACTGCAATTGTTTCGCGCCGCTGGCCTTTTTCGTCTTTGTAAAACATTGTCTACAACAAATGTTATATATTTCTCGCGATGGTCGCGGAAAACCTACCTCTCCGCCTTCAACACCGTCCTGAGCACCAGTCAGATATACCAGGAGTGTCCACTCAGACTTCGCACCCGTTGACGCTTCCTTCACAGAGTCATCATAGTGGGGACCAAAATGCTGAGACGGAGTGTACTTGTACATGCGTATGTTTGAGTTGCACGAGTGGGGCAACCGGGGCTGGCTGTTATCATCCTCACGGTTGCGTCGCCTAAGGGGAAGCGGGCGAGGGAACGAAGGAAGGTGTGGTAACAACAACCCGTGAAGCTCCTGCGCAAAAGACAAAGATGTCACAGAGAACCTGTCTGTACGCGCCATCTTGTTAGCAGGTCAGTACAATACATTGTTACTAGACGTGCTCACAGTTCAGTCTCTCTGCCTCCCCTTTCTTTTTGGAAGGGGTGAGCTCAAGAGGGAGCTCATCGATAAACTTGACAAATCGCTTGCATTCTTCTGCAGATAGGAAGTCCTGGTCACAGATTGATTACTTCCAGGTAACGACGTCTGCCGAGGCGGAAAGACCGACATCTATTACAATAATTTGATCTTCAAGGACAATACGGCGGTCCAGGTATTCCTTGTGTGATATATTCGGGAAGGCGAAAGTCGTAGAAGCTGCATCTCCTTTTGAGGGACCCAATCTTGCCGTGGCATGAATATTCTTGCTTTTCCTCGTCATGTCTTACTTCCTTGAAGCACATCAAGGTTCCCTGGTCCCCAGCGCTCCCTTGCAGTCGACTAGGGTTATCCGCAAAAAGAAGTACATGCCCCATGGCTGAGTTGGTTACAGCGTCCGACTGTTATTCCTCCATACATCGGAAGGTCGTGAGTTCGAGCCTCACTGGGGCAGTAAAATGATTTTGTTCTTTTTCCTTGGGAAAAAAAAAAGGGATCTGCTTCTGCATAGGTCCAGGTTGTCACATTTTACTCCTAAGGTACTCAAAAACCACCATGGACCCCAAAAAAAAACTGCCCCAGTGAGGCTCGAACTCACGACCTTCCGATGTATGAAGTAATAACAGTCGGACGCTGTAACCAACTCAGCCATGGGGCACGTGTCCTTGATATGGCTCTAGTTGGTACAGCATAGGAAATTCACAACTTAAAGCTAAGCGACGTAAAAAGACGTCACCTGAGCGATTCGAACACTCGCGGGCAAAGCCCAACCGCTTGGCTGAATATAGCAGGCGATCCCGTTAACCACTCCGGCAAAGTGACTTGCTGAAGTAACAGCATCTTGGCATTAATAACGCCGCTGTCCAGAGGAACAACACCATGCATCACCGAGAACGTAACATCTACTGCTTGCTGTTCTCATTTATGAAGTACTTCATGTACTGAACAAACAAATCTACCTCTTGCTCCGTGACGGCGTTGTAAAGTGAGACCCGCACACCTGTGTTTGTTAGCATAAATACTTGGGCAACCTCAATCGCCACATACCTCCGACAGACCTTTGCGCGGAACGATAATGAGCGTCGAAGAGAGACAATGGGTAACGGTGCTTACCGATGTCCTTTAATGCCTTTCATCCTCCTCTGTTCAGCGCCAGTGATAAATTTCGCCGTCTTGCCATCACCAACTACGTCGAAGACGATGTTCATTTTGCTGGCAGAACCCTCGCGAACCTTCCCCTTGAATACACCGCGTGCTTGTCCTTCCTTCAGGGCGGCATACAATTTTGCGGCTTTACTATTTGTGCATCTGGCGTAATAGTCCAGCCCCTTCATCCCATTTTCTTCAGTCTGCTGCTTCATCCGTTTGAGTACAAGGCCCGAAATATATATCGGGAGGACGGGCGGCGTGTTGTATAGGCTTTTGTGGTCTATGAGAGTCTTGTATGACAAGCATAACGGGATAGGTATGGCCCCGTATTGTGCGGCCTGGTCTAGGTTGACCTCGTTGTTGAAGTCTTTCTTCCTGACGATGAGGATGGTCAGACCTGCTGGTCCGAGATTCTTTTGTGCGCCGGCATAGATGACGGCGTGCTTTTCAAGGTGAGGAATGGGTCGCGACATGAAGGAAGAGGAGTAATCGCCCACGAGAGGGGCATCGTCGGGCAGTGCGTCGAATGGGAACGAAGTGTCGCTATCCAGGTCATCGTTGAATTCGACACCATCGACCGTCTCGTTGGCGCAATAATATATGAGAGCCGGGTTCTTCGAGAACTCGTCCTTGTAACTGTTGCGGGCGGGGATGTTGTCGAAGGACTTCCCATCGTCAGAAGATGTCCTCGCATCAGCTATGACATTGACCGTTCCACCACCCAGTCTTTTTGCCTCTTCCATTGCCTTCTTGCTCCAGGACCCAGTAAGCACGTAGTCCATCATCCGCTCTTCTGGTTTCAAGTGAGGATGAAGGAGGTGATGTCTAGCAAGCATATTGAGCACAACCGCAGAAAACTGAGTGGACCCTCCACCCTGAGTGAACAGAACGTGGTGAGTCTCTTTTGTGACATTCAACAGGTCTCTGATGTCTTCCTCGACGCCCTCGAGGAATTTCGTAAATTCTTGTGAGCGGTGTGAGATCTCTGCAATCCCCAGACCTGTATCCTGAAAGTTGAGTAGACCCTTGGTTGCCTCTTGAAGCACCGCCTCTGGCAGTGCCGAAGGACCAGCGCCGAAGTTGAGAGCGCGATCAATCATGAAGATGAAAGAATGGCGACGAGAAGGAAAGCAGATACTAGGAGGGACGCAAAGTTGCGACTTGAGATCTGCCAAACGCTGATGGCAAGATATGTCTGTTGGTGGAGATGAATCAGAAGCAAGTGACTCACTCGTCTCTGGGTAACTGGTCAACATCGCCCGACCAGGCCAAATCACACGCGTTCTTCAACTTCGAAAACAACTGCAATTGCAATTATGTACATGTCCGTAATGTTGTCCGTATGAATACCATGATTCGTTCCACCGTAATGCACACTAAACATGGTCGGCACCATCGCTATTTTCGCTCTCACCTTCCCTCCAGAGAGTGCTGAGATGACCGGGGTCTGGCTTGCGGACGCCGCCGTCAATAAGTTCAACTTGCTCACCCTCCGTACTGTCGCGATATTGTCGGCCTTGAGGATCGGAAGTAGGCAGTACCTCCTCCTCACGTGGAACACGCGGAGAGTACGGGCGGTGTGACATCGGGGATGCAAGCGAAGGGAAGTATTGACGGTAAGCGAAATACGAGACCACTGTGCCGAGAATGGCTCCAGCCACAACATCCTGCCAGTGATCTAGAACACGTGAGTTTTGAATGTTTGACCCGAGGATAAAGGGCGACATACGTCTGTAGTCCATGGTACGAGAAATGGCGACCAAAGTCGCTCCAAACAAAGGTGTCACGGAAATCCAAGCTTTGTGCTGGGGCATACGCAAGACGCAGATGACAATGACGACCTTATATATATATATATATATTCATACTCACAGCATGGCCCCTGGTATCGAAGAGATGCATCTTTCCCGCCAGATAGAAAGACAAAAATCCAAGCCCCGCGAAGGACACTGTCCAGTGTTACAGGCAGACCGCACGAATCATCTTTATGAGGTACTCACAGCTTGAGTGACCGCTTGGGAAGCTCCGCCAGCCATCGATCATAATTGCTGAATTGGTCTGAGTGCAGATCGCATCTGTCGACAACCCATAGGTTGGATCCTGGCTACCTGGGTTCGGCATGCAACGCGACAACAAATCTAGAGATGGGTCCATCGAGTCAGATCGTGAAGCATGACACGGAGGCTCCCAACTCGCCTGGCCGAGGCCGGCCGACAGTAATCTTGCTGAACTGTGTAACAGCGCCGGTAATGGCCAAGCCGAGGATCACTACAGCAAATATCATCGAGTCAGAACGCATTAAAGTCAAGAATACGAGGACGAACACCCAAGTGCACTGTTATGATAATCCCAGAAAGAGCGGACTGTGATGAGGTTTACGACAAGTTGGATGACTAGTGGCGCCACGATCGCAATGAAGTACAGGGCGATGTTCTGATAACGGTGTTGAATTCCGAGTATAGTGACACCACAACACCACTTACCGGCACGCGCTCCTTGACGGCAAAACTACAGGCTAGAACATTAATGCTCGTCTAGCGTATTATTATCATGCGTACGTACGGGAAGCGAATCCTGTGAAGCAACAAAATCATCAGCGCCGAAGAACGTAGACCACGACGGTATGTAGATCGATAGCGCACGTTTCGTCGTTGACAGAAAATTCTCGTCTAAATCCGTGAACACCGTCGAGGGCAAAGAACAAGACCCTGGAGGAGCGAGGATATGAACAATCTGCTCTAACTCGATGAGAGGTCACGCACGCTAAGAGGATTGTGATGGTCCTGATGGCTCGATGAAGAAACCGATCTGGAAGATATGAGCGACTACGCACCAGTCTGGGGCGTAGGACTTGAGCAACGTAAGACGTCTCTTGCTGTCGGTTTTCTTGGTCGTTACACCACTGGAGCCCGCATTCCTGGAGAACAGGCTGCCCGTCGGAAACATTGTGGACTGTTCGTGTAATTATTGCGACCCAGGAAGAACGCCGGGGCTTGGAAACGAGGACGGTATAAAGGATGTGGTGCACGAGACCTGGTTGGTTTGGTATTTATTGTACATGTCATACGCAGGACAAAACGTTCACACAGCCTTGCGTGCTGCGTCGTCCCACTTACTTTACTGATCCAAAGGGTAGTAGTGCTTGGTCACTCGTCTTCGTGATGTCAGCAGCAGGCAACTCATACGGTCTTGCCAGAGACTTCCAGTGGAGCCCAGGTAAGGAGTAAGGAGGCCAGAGCCTCAAGGGAGACGTGATTGACCCACAGGTAGATCAGGAAGCGGTCCTGGAGCGGATAGCCTCCACAGACGACTTGGACCCGAAGTTAGTCCCTCATCTTTGTCTCGCTGGTTTGCAACTGACATTTACTAGCACAGAATGGGAAGTACTCCGCGAGATGATCAAGTACAGGTTAGAGCAGGTGTGTTCTCGCCCATCCTCTGTACGAGTCAAGTTCACGCACTCACATTCAGAACATCGTGCTCTTCCTCGCTGATGCTGCGCAAGACCGCCAGCAGCCACCGGTGCTGCCTCCAGCAACGATTGAAACGTCCGCAAATCTGAAGCTGCCGCCTTTTCCCCCATGCAAGCCGAACGAGTCGCGACCCAACGAGGCCCCGAAAGCCCACTTGGACAAGGACGAAGCGAATGAAGTGAAGAGCGCCATCTTCAAGCAGCTCCATGAATTTGACGAGTGTGTATATTCTTTCACAGCTCCAGAAAGTCAACCACTCAGCTACCATCTAGTAATCCTCCGTTCACCATCCAACGCGTCTGTGAGCTGTGTGTATATCCAAAACAGCATTACAAAGTTCTTGGCAAGTATCTTCGCGCTGTGGAGAAATCTCTACTTGTGACCTCGACATGGGACGCGTTTACATCTCAAACTCCTGGAGATGGTTTCTCAATGCCCATCACCTCAGTCGGACCTTCAGTACAACCTGCCCCTGCCCCGACAACCCCTGTATTTTCGCCCATTCCATTTTTACATGATGATGCAAGACGGTCCAAATCGTGCAGTCCTCCTCCATCGCCGCTTATTCTCGGCGCAATGGACACAGCCGCTGTAGAGCCGCTGGGCGGGGCAGTGCCACAACGAGGCATCGGCCTAGTGGATGAACTCGATGACCCTAGTCCTGGGCATATGAGCAACCATCCCACTGCGCTTTCCGCAGTGACAACCGTCGCATCACGTCCATTCCTGGATACATTGGAGAACAGATTCGTGAGGGCAACAGAAGAGCAAGTAGAGACCCGAAACGAGAACAAGATAACAGAGGATCACGTCGACGACATGGAAAATAAAGGTTGATCTCCTCGCAGTGTCTACGCCCGTCATAATCACTGGACAATAGAATCTGCACGTTAGCTTTTTCCCGGTGTGCATGTCTGATGATACTTGCCGACGTTGCTAAGAAAAATCGCGTTTGATCTTCTCCAGTATGTCATTCATCCGCAACTTCATATCTGGCTGGCCCTTGCCCGGGCCTCCTCTCCCACTTCGTGTTTTC